TGCCTTGTTGTGTGGATCTTCACAGATCTGAGCCAAGCCCTCGAGTTGCTCAGTATCTTCCAGCCCACAAAGTCAGCGCTTCCCCGTGTCAGCCCTGCTGTGTTGGAGGGAGCAGGGAAATCCTGAGGGATGTTGAGTATCTCACCTGCAAATCACCCCAGGTCTGCTCTGGTACCAGAGTTTGGAATGTGGCTCCTCAGAACCTGGTGCTTGCCCAGAGCTCTTCACTATAGATTTTAATTTGTTTAATGCTGGGTGTCTTCCTAACCTTGGCTGGGATCAAAATCCGAGTTTCCCTTAGATCCAGGTAAGGAGGGCTGGAAACATGAAGGACTTCTCCAGAAACCCCAGGCACATGGGATGGTTTCCAAGCTCTGCTCTGGTGTTTACAGAGCCCCAGAGTGCGTACAACTGTGTAAGACAGCTTGAACTCCATTAGGAGCTAAATTTAGTGACTCACTAACTCCTTTTTGATATGTTTTTATAATTTCATTGTATTATGACACTTGGTTTTAAATTTGCATGAGTAAATGAGCCTCTCACTAAGTCAGGTAAAAAGATTTTTCACTTATCTACCATGAAATAAGACATGAAAAAAAATAGTGAGAGTTGAAAGCAACGTATCCTTGACATATTTAGTTTACATTTTTTCCAACTGTGCTGAGTGAACATTTCTAACCATTAATGATCCAATAAAGCTGTTTGTACCACTTTAACAGGCTAAATAATTTCACATTAGGAAGACATTTTGTAATTAATTTCGTATTTTGTGGGAGAACCCTATTTTTGGAAAATATAAATGTACATTTAATTACACTCACAATCCAAATTGGAAGATGCAAGGAGTGAAAACTGGCCTTTTATGGTTCACCTCTAACCAGTAAAGTCCATGGAGGCAATTAACAGTAGTGAACAAGTTTAACTGGGGTTTCCATGACTTGTTCAATAAGTTTCCTGCAGGACTGCTTAAAAATATTCCCTGGGCAGTGAAACTCCTCTGTTTGATGGAAGATCAGACCTCACACCTTCATCCCTGCCATCACAGAGGTTCCTTCCACCAACTTCTGATTCACTAACGTGGATTTATGGTCTGGTTTTTAAAGTGTATCTGAGCTTTTATTTAGGATAACCTTGACAAGACCTGAGTGATATTGGGGTCTGCACTTTAAAAGTATTTTTCCCCTCTCATTTCCAGTCCAAGAAGAGGCCACCCAAGGTCCTGCTGCTGATGGGATTTGGGGGGTGGATCTGAGGAGCCTCCCTTTGTTTTGGACAGGTGATGAGCAGCAAGGAGATGGCACCAATGCTCCTTCAGTCCTCACCTGGGCTCTGGTGGCGAGCTCATGTGGAGGTGAAAGTTCTGCCGTTAATTATCCAGCTTCTTGACTCTCCTCATCTCTCTGGACATCACTGGCTTTGATTTTTTTTGTGTTATTGATATTTTTTCTTTTTTTTCCCCCTGTTTCATTAATAGTGACAGATGCTTTTAATTAAAAAGACAAGACAAAACAAAATCCTGAGTAAAACAAAAGGAGAATATTCTAATTTGGCGTGACATTATGAGGCAGGATGGCTCCTGGCATGCAAGGTACGGAAAAGGTCATCTTCCACAGCTCCAGCCTTTTGCAACAGTGGAATTAAGTTCAAACTCAGGCTGGTTTTGAAGTCTTAAGTCTCTCCAGGGATTCCTTTCATAACATCTTCGAACTGGATAACACTACAGTAAATGAAATACACTGCACTGGATTAAAGGGTTATTTCCCCTGTGTGTCGAGCTGACACAGAATCCCAACCCTCAGGTTGCCTCTGAGTTGTCTCTATCTGCTGATACCCTCTCTGCTTTACATAACAGCTCTCGGAGTTTTTGCAGGGAAAGTTTTGCCATTATTTATTTGGCTTCGGCGCTCGGCGTACGCGCAGCAATTTTATGCAGCAAGGAACCAAAATAAAGCAACTAAACAGGAAGAAATTTAATGGGCTTCAAAATGTGAGGGAAGCAATGCAGGGAAGAGTGGAGCTGCCTCTTCAGGTCTATTATGCTGCTCTATAATTTATACCAAAATACAAACTATCGCTCTTTCTCTGCATTGCCACTCACATGTTCAGCAGCACAGAGCTTGCAGTAACAACGGGGATGATCTGTGCTACTGTGCTCTTATCTGACTGTACCAACAGCTAAAATTTGTTAGGGATCATTTGCAATGTGTTTTGTTGTAGAACAAATGTTCATTTTGACTTTGAACTTGGTACCTGCTGCAGCTCGTGCAGATTGCGTCGAGCGCCGGGTATCAAACCACTGCCATCTGCACCGTGCCAGGGACCACCGTGGCTGGGCTCCAGAGCACGTCCTGCCTCTCCACACCAGGGAGAGATGAGTGGCTTTAAATATCAGAGCATTGGCTCCTCCAGCTCCATTGTGCCGTGGCCAGTGCCCCGGAACAGGGTGGCCTCTTGGTCCTGGGGAAGGTGTTGTCTCCAAGCTTGGGATGGCAAATCCCAGTGGGTGTTTATTGAACCCACTCTGGAACGGAAAAAATTGTCTTGGTTCTTTGTTTCCCCCCACCAAAACACCGATTAAAGACCACTCTGAAAGCAGGGGAAGCCTGTGAAACACAAAGTCTGTGATAAATTTTTTTGACAGTAAAAAAGAAGAAAACTATTTCTTCTCCCTCCTTATCTCCTCCCGTTTTCTTTTATCCAAGGTGGTCCAGAGCTGGCTGGATCAGATGGAAAACTGAAGTTGCCTTATAAAGTGTTTATACAAGATAAAGTGCATCCTTTGCGTTCTTGATACATTTGGGTTTGGTAGAAGCAGGGCACTGTGTCTGTGTGTCCATGTGTCCCTCTGGGTTCTGTTCTCTGTGCTGAATCTCTTCTGCCTCCGTGGCTCAATATCCTCCCGCACCGTGTTTTTCTCTGGACGTACTTGTGGATACTGCTGGAACAACCACTGCTCCTCTTAACCAACCCCAAACCCCTCTCCTGAGAGCTCATGGGATGGATGGGGGCTGCTGCTCTTCATGAGGGTGGGGAGGTGCCTTCTTTCCTCTCCCTGGTCATGCTTCTGCTCCACAAGTTGCAAACATCATTTGTCTCCATTAGCTTTTGGGATGAGGTGCTGAGATCTGCACACTGACCTGTGGCTCTGTGGGAGGTGTTCACCAGGATTTGTCTGTGCTGACGGGTTTCTGCTGGCAAGCTCCTCGAGGACGTGTCCCTGCGGGCATCGGGTTCCTGACTTTCCAAGTGTTATTCACATATAAACCCACACACACATTAAAAACCTGTGGGGAATGATACTTTGGTGTTTCTGCTGTCCACGAGTAATTAAAATCAGTGACATTTTTAGATTTACCTCTAACTGAACAACCTGGGAGGAGGAGCAGGGGCAGGGAGTTGCATGTGCTGCTTTTCTGGGTGGCTGGAGGTCCCCACGCCGTGGCCTCCAAGAGGGTCTGTGTCTGTCCAGCGGGTCCGAAATCTCTCTGGAAAAGCTGGGACATACTGAAAATATGCTCTGGGCTTTAGCACTTCCTCCAGATTATTTCTTCAAGTATTTAAAAATATATTTTATAGCACTAAAATAAATGTTAATGAGTCTGCGTTGCTTAGGGCTAACAATAGTATTTCTATTTCAATCCAGCAGCCTGGCAGGGTGTTTGGTGATGGAGGGGCTGGATGTGGAGACCTGGCTGTTTCTTTCTGACTTGGTCCTTGATGTCTTGAGCAGTTTTATTCTCTTGTGCTTTACTTGCCCTGTTCTGCTAAATAGCAGTGAAAAGCTTCCTTGCTTTGTTAAAGCACCTGGGATTTATCAAAGGCCTCTGGGCAAGTGTTAAATGCTGATCTGGGTATAAAAAGTGTTATTTAGTGTTATGTTTTTACCTCTTCAATGTTAGCATGTATTTTTATATACTCCTTGAGGTGGCCTTTGTGATTTTCCAGCCGAAGAGACAGTCTCCTTGACTCAAGGATTTGGTTTTTTCCACTACCTGGCATGGTATCTCCGAAGTAATTTTGTAAACATGCTTTTCAGGCGTGTTTTTGGTGTTTGGGCTGGGGCTCACAGTGCTGGAGGTGCCAGTTGCATCCAGAAGATGGGAGAGTTGCCATGAGAAAAATAATAGCATGGAAGTCGGCTCCTCTCATTCCTCATCTTGGTTCTTTTTCTCAGTTACAATGAAATGATATTTAAGGATCCCAGGCTGCCAAGTAAGATGGACAGGGATTTGGGGAGGCACCCCAAGAGTTTGCACGGGAGCAGGGCATGAGGTGTAGGAGGAAATGGGATGGCAGGAATTCAGCCTTGGCATGGAGTCAAAGGCAGCAACCCTGCTCCGAGCAGCTGCATAGCCAGGGCTGCAGGAGGCCAAATGGTTTGTTTGTCTGTTTACATGGATGTGTGGGGCTGTGGAGGGGAAAACCACTTAGCAGAAATTCTGCTATTAAAGCAGATGGTGGGAGATTAGTCTGGTTTTTAGGGGGGTGCTTCCTGGTACAGCAACCAAATTATTAATCCCTTCCCATTCTAGGAGTCCTTCCATCGTTCCAGGGGATGGGGGAATTGTGTCTTCTGAAACTCAGCTCCTTCCCTGCTTTCTCACAAGCCAATGTGGTATTTTGGGAAGCAGAAGAGCATTTGTCGGGGTTGTTGCTGCAGTTTCTCTGCCCGTGGTGCTTCCACACTGCTCAAGCCCTTTCCCGTGCTCCCAGGGCAGTTCCATGGGCTCCTGCAAACCAGCAGCAGCCCCTTTGCTGCTGCTCAAATGCTGGTTGTTATCCTAGATTTCCTTTTTCTCCTTCCATTTTAGAAATTGCTCTTTTTTCCCCCCTGCCGTATCACTGACAGCCACATTCTCCTTGACAGTTGTGATATTTGTATGTGTGCGTAAAAACAGTAGGAAGCATTTATGTAGGTGTCACTAATTTAATTTAATATAATCTGATCTGTATGTATAGAGAGGACTGTTCTGACTGAAATGCTTCTCTTTATTTTGCAGTCTTCATCGTCATCAAATACAACTCCTTTCATTCTCCTCTTCCATTCACCTACCCAAAGACCAAATCTGGAAATAGTAACCAAAAGAGAAGCCCACGTCACACACAGAGCAGGGAAAGGTTGAAATAATTGAAGGGTAAGTAAGTTTTTTTACCTTTATTTTGTGTGTAAAGCCACAATAGTATGTGCAGGACTGTGTAAAGAAGCTGTTAAGCACATGCACAGCTGCTTTGTGTGCGAAGTGGAAAAAATGACTGAAATGCTGATTTGGTGGTGAAAGAAAGGCATTGCAGGTGAGAAGGTGCCCAGAAGGGCAGCGTGCCGGCGGTTTGGAATGTTGGTACCGCCAGTTTGGAGTATTGGTACTGATTCTTCTCAGCCTGGATCCATCTCTGCTCCTACCTGGGTGGGAACAGTGGCTCTGCACAGGGTGGGGGCTTGGCATGGCTTTGGCTGGTCTGAAGGAGCTTCCCAGCTGAGCAGGAGCTGGGAGATCGGAGTCTCCTGCTGCTGAAGAGCTCTCGTGTCATTTCCTTCTCTCTCTCTCCCGCTTCAAACCTCTCTCAGCTGGGCTGGGGCTCTGTGTGCACGGGGCAGGATGTTTTGCCTTCTGTTGGTTTCTGCAGTCCCTCGGTTCTGGGGGCTCCACAAGCTTTTCCTGGAGAGCAGCCTGGCGGTGCCTGTGCCGGGATTTTCCGAAGGAAGGCGTTGATGGGGGCTGGAGGGAGGGACAAACCCGCCTGGCAGAGCGGGGAGGGCCTTTCGGTACAAATGTTTCTCTTAAGGCTTTTCTTTTGCTGCGAGGGTGGCGAATAAAATAGGAGGAGATAGAAAATCAGCTTTCGTGAAATTCAGAACCCTGGCTGAAGCATTAGTAAGCTCCAAATGTTAGGGAATGCATTTCCCCACCCCATCCCCAGTTCTGTGGTTGCATATATTGCATTTTCACACGTGTTCTTGTGTAGATGGACAGGAAATGCCTTCGCTTACATGTGAGATCTTCTCTTTAAACATCTGGATTTTCTGGTTTATTGCTGCTGTGGGGTTTTATTTCTTACCCCTGCAGTGTTAGTTCATGCAAAATTCATATCTGGGAAGGGCATCTTAAATCCCTGCTTCTGAGTCAAAAAGGGAAAGTATGGAAGTGAAAAGAGAGATTGTATCATTTAAGAAATATGATTCATGAATTAATCCTCGTCTGCTCCACCATCTGTGGCGTGTGTTTCAATACAAAAATCCTTGGTTATATCTCTTTAAAAAGCTTTTTTCTTGCTGACTGCCTGAGTTTGCTGCAGCACTAATGGGGAATTAGCTTCTTTTGGAGGAGAGAGTGGAGATTTTTATTCACAGCCTGGACAGGTTGCCCCAACCTGTGTTCAAGCTGTAGGTCGTTGAGGGGGATGCAGAGCTCTGTTTTTTGGGGCTGCCAGCTCTCTGTGTAATGCCATGAGCTTGACATGCAGGGAGAGCCTGTGCACAGCTGCTTTGTGCTGTGGAAGCGTGGATGGATCTCCCACCAGGATGGAGGGGATGGAGCAAGATACAGGCAGCGATGGCAGGAGGTGCAGGCAGCCATTAGATCCTTCTGCAAAAACAAGTGGCTGTTTCTAAAAATGGACTGGGAGTGTATTTTGTACTTGATGCTCCAGGAAATAGAGGATTGAGGTAGTCCCCTATCCTCTGCTTCCTAGTGATGTTAATCTAATCTCTCTGTGGATATGAAGAAGGGGAAGGTTGCCCATCATTGCCCCAAAGAGAAGCTGTCACACTTTGTACCTCCATGAGAAATGGGGAATGAAAGGGCACTGGAGTTTTTGAGGGTGACTTGAGAAGGATCTTCTTTTTCTGATTTGGTCTTTTGAATTGTTTTCCAGCTTTTCGCGGGGAACAACTTTCCTTTTTAAATATATTTCTCAGGTTCCTGTTCCTGAAGCAGTGCACCTGGTTTGCTGCTGGGGTCAGACCCGAGATGTGTGAGCCCTTTTCCTCCTTCCTGGAGAGTCCCCAAGCAGGTCCATTTCCTGGCCTGGGGCACTTGCTGCTCATCAGTTTTCTCCCATGCCTCGGGTGAGATCCTGGTAAAAGCCTGAGTGTTTTCCTCGTTGTTCTGGAGGAGGATCCGAGGGGCTGGAGATGGAGAGTGGCTGGATGGCCTCAGCCCCTGGCACAGCTCACGGTGGCCTCAGCCCGTGGCACAGCGATGCACCCGCGTGGCCACGGCCCCTTCTGTGCCAGTGGCCCCGCTGTGAGCACAGCCCTGGAGAGCTCCCAGGCTCCGATAACGCTGATGGATGGAGGTTATCCAGGAGCTCAGTACCACGCTGAAATATTACGGGTTTATTGCCGTTCCATTCATCCTGCTTTCACGCCTTTCTGCCTCCCTGACTCATTGCCACGCGGCCTCTGCCTGCAGCTCCTGTTTGCTGGGGGAACACCCACTGGACAGGATGGGAGTGTGGCAAAGCTCTGGTGCTTTTTTTTTTAATTGAGCATCTAAAGCCAGGACGGGAAAGTCTTTTGTTGGAAGCAGGAATAAAGTGTTTAAATGAAGGAGGATGTGGGGGGTGCTCTGCCCCACAGCCAGGTGCTGAGTTCTCTTAGGCTTTGCATGGTCCCTAAGGAACGTTTTCCTATTCCTCTCTGTTATCACAAATCCCTTTCTGCCCACTCACTGGGAAGTCCTTGGACGTGCAGGCATGGCATGAAAAGTAAGCTCCAGTATCCCAAGACTACTGTAAATAGCTATGTCTTAAGGGAAAATGGTGTCAGCAGCTGTTTAACCCAAATTGGAATTCGGCTGAATTACATCCCTACCCCAGCAATAGGACCTGAGGGAATGGCCTGGAGCTGTGCCAGGGCAGGGTCAGGTTGGATCTCAGGGAAAGGCTCTTCCCCCAGAGGCTGGTTGGGCACTGCCCAGGCTCCCCAGGGCAGTGGGCACAGCCCCAAGGCTGCCAGAGCTCCAGGAGGGTTTGGACAAAGCTCTGAGGGACAGAGGGGGTTGTTGGGGTGTCTGGGCAAGGCCAGGAGTGGGACTGGATGATCCTTGTGGGTCCCTTCCAGCTCAGGGTGTTCTCTGATTCTCTGACATACTTCTGCATGGAAAATACTCACGGGAATGCAAACCAGGATGGACACCCAGCTTTCTGTCCACCTCACCCACGCAGACACACCTTGTCTTCCACAGCTTTCACCAGGAACTCTGGCTCGTTTGTATGCCAAAATAATGTATACATTATTTTGCAATTTTGCTTATTACTTAATTGCTTCAATCATATATATTTTTAGTGAGAGTTTCTGGGCTTGTTTGCCATTTTTTATCTGCTCTGTGCTACAGTCTGGGTTAGTCTGAGAAGCAGAGATTGTTTCCTGGGGTCTCTTCTGCAAACCTGCACCTCTGTCAGGTGTGTGCTGGTCCTTCCTGTGCCAATTGACAGCAGTAATCACATGGCCAAGGTCTCCATAAAATGAGGCTTGTGGACTTTGTTCCTTGAGAAGGTCCTGTGCTTGCTTACATGGCCAGTGTTAGCATTTTGCAGAATTTTGAGCCCCCACAGAAGCTCTGCTGGTAAAAAAACCCAACCAAGCCAACAGGAGGTAAAACAAATTCTGTCAAAAATGGGAGACAGAAGCAGTCCAAGCATTTTGACAAGCAGATTCCATTAGCCATAGGTTTTACTTTTTATTTTAAGCTTTGACTAAAAATCAGAGTTTTTACTTAAAGAAAAAAAAAAAGACATATTTATGCTCAGCATAAATATGTTTTATTTCTACCACAGAGGGGGATTGTAAATGAGGAGTCTGGTGGATTCCCCCAGCTTCTCCTCCCTGCCTTTGCAGGATGCCCTGATCACCAAGGGTCCCCTGGGAGGGTGACAGTGCTGGTGGCAGAGAACACGTGACTTTCCTCCAAGGTTTCTTGTGGGCAGCTCACGGACAGAGAAGCATCGATTCCCCCTCTATTCTTTAGGACCCCAGTGAAACAGCTGCTTGTTTCTCCTAAACAGTTATGCCAAGACGGAAATTGGCTGGTGTCTGTACGGACTTTCTGGATGGGGAAAATTCAGCAGTAATAGCTGGAAAAATAATATGGGCTATGAGATAATAGATGCCTAAGGGATAAAATTAAGCAGTATTTTACAACCAAGGAAGAGGGTTTGACAATAAATAGTTTGCCTTTGACTTCCTTTTTGTTTGCCAGAGGAGTGATGTTGTTTTGGAGAGGTTGTTCTGGGATGTGTTTTCCAAACAGATATAGGAAAATAGGGAAGGTGGGGTGGTTTTTCATTCCTCCCTCCTGCTGCTGCCGGGGCGGAGTGCAGCATGTTGGCACTGATGGCACATTGACTGTGACAGGGATGTGACACTGGAGCTTCCTATGGGAAATTCCAGCAGTGTAAGGGGATGTTTAGAAGAGAACAGCGAGGTTTGCCTAACAAAGCGGGAACAAGATTGGTTTTAAATGCCACAGGGAGCCCAGAAAGCTCAGGAAGGGGAGGTGGCATGTTCGGCACCCCGGCAGGGTCCCAGAGGAGTTTATTCCTGATCTCCCTGTGTTCTTGTGTTGCTGCTTGGCAGCCTTGGGCTGTGCAGAAGCCCATTCCCAATAATGCCATGTCAGTGGGATTTGGTTTTGTTCTGCTGTCCCTCCACATGTGTTTTTCCATAACAGCTCTGTGAGCACCTTGCTAACGGGGTTGTGTGGAAATGCTCTTTTCTCCATTTTGGGAGGCTCATACCACTGTCCCCTTCCACTCCTGCATAGGGAATATGCCAGCTGGGCTGGGAAGATGCCCTGGTTGCTTCCTGGTGCCAGTGGTAAACATTCTGGAGAGTGCAGGGCTTGCACTCTGCTCCAAGGGCAGCATCACGGGCAGGACTTGCTCATCTTCACTTTGCAGGGAGTAAAAGCACAGTTCAAACAGAGCTGCAAACCCTAATCCACCTTCCCGGACATGGATTTGGGTGCAGCAGGTTGAGATATGAGGTCTTTAGCCCAGGCCAGCTGCTAACAGCTTTTAATTTCCCAAACCTCAGGGAAAGCCTCCCTGCCAGGTGGGGGGATTTCCTCAGCATGGGTGGAACATGGGACAGCCCCAAGGTGCCAAAGTGCTGGCCGTCCCCACGGGCTGAGGG